GTGGGGGGGGGGGGGAGGCAGGCTTTGAGGGACACTTTTCGAATAAAAAAGGGCATCTAAAAATTTTTCCCGGAATTGTTGGCGACGGGGGGAGGTCATCTCAAAAAAATTTTCCGGATATATCACATTTCTTCCTAAATATGAAAAAAAATTTCCCGGATACAATAAAAAATTTTCCGGATATATGATATTTTTCCCGGAATTGAAAAAAATTTTCCGGAAGTAGTAATTCAAGTTTTCAAAAGTGCCCTTTGGGCAAAAAATGCAATCTTAATGACATTTTTCACGCAAGAAAAGGGCACTTGGCAAAACTTGGGGGGGCTCCCCCCTCCTTTTGCCCCCCCCCCCTCCGGTTCCTACGCCCCTGTATGAGCTGATAGCCGACGAGGTGCGATTGTATCCATGCAGTTGACTATCGAAAGTGAGTAAATAACTGTTTTATTATATGCATGCATACTTGCATTTAATAACGCGTGCTAAAGCATACTGGAAAACTTTTGGAAACTGAATTACTGAAAGCACAACTTTTTGCTGCAGGTAACAAATTCTGGCAATGCTCAAAATGTAGTCGACTTACTTAACTTAATAACTTCAATGATTTTAGAGTCACTGCCAGCGGCATTTATGGCTATGCATCGATACTTCATGGCAATTCTTGCCTGACTGTTAAGTCGTAAGGAATATGATTCAATTTTCAATTTTGCACTTTCTTCATCACAGCTGGCGCTGTCACACGAAAACCACGTATACTTCACTTGCGGTGGGTTGACTTCATCAGTATTCTTCAATGAGCAGTTAATTATCATCCCTTTCTTAAAGAGGTACGTCGCTGCCAACTGTATCTCGGGTTTTACTGTCAAAATAAACGAACAATTGTAAATGTCTGTAGCTATATAATAATTTTAAACACGCATTTGCATTATCTGTTGTGAAATTGATGGCTAATTAGAAAACAACTTGTATCGATAGGTCAGCAAATAAATGAAAAAATTTGTTTTAGCAAGCTTTCGTTGGTAGGGATGCAACTACCTGAAAATATATAAGTAAAATTTCGACGTTTCGAGCGAAGGTCCTTCGTCTGGAGTTTTACTAACGGGGGCCGGGAAAATCACATGAACTTTTATATTCTAAGAATATAAAAGCGGTCATGTAACAAAAAAATAAACCTAATTAGATGGATTAAGTCAAAACAAAGTATAAACAAAAATGTAAATCACATTACAAATATACAGAAAACTACAGCAAATATACAACAAAATATATGAAACAAGTATGATGGAATAAGGTAAGAATTAAAGGTACTGTCAATGTCTGCTTTAGACAGGCAATGACAGATAATTAAGAGTTAAACATAGGAAAAACGTTCATTAATGCCATAGGGGTGGGAAGTGCCAAGTTTGGAAATGAGAAGTATAATTTCGTGTCTTTTGCGACTATCGTTGCAACCGGAAATGGGACACAGGGCTCGAATTTCCATACCTGAAAGATTGTGATTGTCAGTATTAAATTGTCTGGCAGCAGGCTGGTTAGCATCATTGCCAATGACTGCACGCCGATGCTCCCCAAACCTTGTCCTTAAAGGTCTTCCAGTTTCTAGTGTTTTATGATTCAAACACGCGATATTCGCAAGTAGTGTGGAAAATAACATGACAATGAATATTAGATAAAGGCCATCTCAAAAATAAAAAATTTGGTCTTTCTTAGAAATTAACTGATTTTGTGCATTGACAAGAGCATGCCATTCGCGTCCTGTCCAACAGCTTCCCTCTCTCGTTTTCAGTTTCAATTGACTCTCACATACGCGTTAACGTTCTCTCGCAAAATTGTAAAACAGTAGTTGCTAACGTGAGGTTAAAACTAAAAGGCTTACCTTTAACAGTTATATTGACAAACTGAGAGTTGTAATAATTAACTTGAGGACGAAATACTTCACACTTGTAGCTCCCCGAGTCTTTCGCGGACAATGAATTCAGCGTCAGAGTTAGGATTCCAGGTCCATCGAGTGCAGATTTCAGTTTTATCGGATATCCTCGCGAATCAAATTTGTACCAAATAATTTCATACAAATTGGTATTTTGTTCTGCTTCGCATGTTAGGTTAGCATTGATTCCAATATCATAGTATGCTTCATTTGGGTTCTTCTGGATTTTAGCTTTCATGTAAGATTTCCCTATTAAAATATAAGAATAACATGAACAGCACAATTGCTACAGCTTGCAACAAAATTCTGTTTCAACGCATGCTTAGAATGTATAAACGCATGCATGTTGTCAGACACTTACTTATATTTTCCATGCAAGGACTTAATACAACTTTAGTGATTGTATTATTATTATTATTATTATTTAGAACAACGTACTATATATTTATTCAGAACAACGTACTATATATTTTGTTGTAGAAACAAGGATTGGTCCGATCCGGACTTGATGAACATTTAAGAATGAGCTTTCTCTTAGTTTTATACCTGTAATATAGTTTTATCAATAATTAATAGTTCAAGTAGTCAATTATAAATTACCTTAATTAGTGAGATTTATAATTATATATACATAAAATGTCAAAATAAAGTTTCCATTATTATTATTATTATTATTATTATTATAAATTCGAATAGAAATTTGAGAGAAAGTTAACTGTCCACGCATGCACGTTTTACCTTCTTTCAGTACAATGAGTTGATGATGTCTTGTCACCTCCCCGTGAATAATATCGCTAGAGTTCCAAGTAATGATTGAACATATGTAATGCCCGCTATCTTCATATACCAAGCGTGTTATATTAAAGACATTCTTGGAGGCCAATTTTATCTTTTCATTGTCAACATGAAGGTCAGATATGTTGGTGGTTCCATTGGGTTTAAATCATAGACTTGTTCTAGCCCAATCAAAAACGTCACAATTGATTAACATCCACTCTCCAGATAAGCGGTAGATGGAGGGATTATAATACTTGACCCCATCTGTAGTAAAAGAAGGAATTGGTTGGCATATTTTTGCACTACATAGAATGTAACAATGCGAGGCTCGCAATGTGATCCTATATTGTTGTATGTATATTATAGTTTCCATATACCTTCTTTAGTAGGGGATTTCTTGACGGCGGCAGCAACTCTTGGGATGCCTATAAAGGAAATTTCAATAATCGGGCAAGAAAATTTTCCAATTTTGAATCATAGCAATCCCTAAAAATGTCGTCAAAATTTCATGACTATGAAAAATAGTCGTATATAATAGTTTTCTTTTATATATACCTTCTTTAATAGGCAATTTCTTGGCGACGGAAACAACTCTTCGGATGCCTATATACCGAGAAGGAAATTTCAGTAATCAGAGAAGAAAATTTTGAAATTTTGCGTCCTAACAATCCAATTGATCCGCGCCTTCATGAAGAAATTTAGTCAAACAAAATTTTTAAAATTTTAAGGAGAACCACATAGATGTCCATTCGAAATTCATTAAAATTCTAAAAAACGAAATTCATTAAAATTCTAAAAAAAAGTTTATAGAATATACGTTCTTTTCGCTTGAGAAACTTTAGATTGAGGGAGAAGACATAACGAAATCCATATTTGTTTGAAATCCGCAAAGAGTCATTTGAAAAAACCATAGCCATGCTTATTCCAAGCAAATTATAGTCTTATAAAAAGTAACACTGATGTATAATAGATTTCCCAAAACCTAGCTGCGAATTCATGAAAGGAGTTATAAGATATAGCGGGCTTATAAACTTTGGAATGGTCTTCCTCTGGAAACAGTGCTGGATGGTTGCAATCATGCATGCAGTCTACTCTTTCAAAATGAGTATTTATATACATGATTAAAAATGGTTTAGTAACTTGAGATGTAATAATTCTTGCGTAAGAGGACGCTTGCAGATAGGATTTTTAGCCTTTTTATTAATACATACATGCCACGATTGTAGCCGATGCGTGATGCGAGGTACTCAGTTACTGAGCAAAAATATGCGTAATTGCATGACGACTGTAACTTTTTCTTACCTCGCAATCTCAGCATAGACATATTCGATGCTTTCGATTTTCCCATCACTAGGAAAAAAACAGCTGCGAAGCCGAAGGTAATTGCATGTTTGACAAAGCTCATCGTGTCTGAACGCTTTTTCTAAATGTCAAAATATAAAAAAGAAATTTAGTGCTGAAATGCATGGAAAATATATATATTAATTATTATTATTATTATTATTACCAGCAACGTCCCTCTCAAAATGTATAGCTAAATCTCTACACTCTTTGCTTATAAATATGTGCCAGCGCACTTGCAGAATACAGACAAATTTATAAACTCATCGGACATTGACTGTGAAATTAAAGGGTTTTGCATGCAGCCTTGATGCATGTAAATTTATATGGATCGATTCTTTTTAAGGATATCAATAGTAACACTCCTGGCATTCTTACTGTAGCCAAACGTTTTTTTAATAAGTGCAAAGCCGAAAGTATATTATCGCCACTAAGTGACAAAGATTTCAGTGAAGCATTGCTGCGACTGTGCCTTACCAGTGATACAGTTTTGATCGATGGCAAAGGATATAGGCAAAGGTCTGGACTAGCTATGGGAAACAATCTTGCACCAGTCTTAGCACATGAACGAAATTGATGCCCAAATTATCCAATCTACCAATGGTCATTCTAAAGCGGCTAATTGATGATATCTTTCTTTCATGGACATCTGAATCAGTAACTGGAGACATGCTGTAATTGTCTGTGGCCAACAATCTAAATGATAACAGTTTTGTTTGTGG